TTTTTAATTTTAGTTTCTTGTGTACAATTTGGAGTTTAGTATGGCGTTCATTATCACTGAACTAGTATATATATTTGTTTAGGGGCCAGCTGAAGGACGCCTCCGGGTGCGGGAATTTCTCGCTGCATTGAAGACCTGTTGGTGGCCTTCTGCTGTTGTCTGTTCTGTGGTCGGGTTGTTGTCTCTTTGACACATTCCCCATTTCCATTCTCAATTTTATTACAAATATCATTTTATGACAAAAGTTTAAAAATTATCTAAACTTGATGTCATTTCCTTGCTCTATTTTGTCATAGGGACTGAATAATAAGTGATATAGAAATAAAATTTTCATCTTCTCACTGTTGAACTCGCCATGACCAAAAATGATGAGTCCCTGGACTTGTCTTTAAAAATCCTTAGTGAGAAAACTGAGACCCCTGTTACCTCATAACTCCTTTTATTCATTTAATCTTTTAAGGAAATAATTTAGGTATCCTTATGTATCCTTTTGGGTTGGATGTGTTATTTATGTACTAAATACATTATAATACACATGTATCATAAGATATGAATGGGAATAAAATTGAGAATGGAAACGGGGAATGTGTCAAAGAGACAACAACCTGACCAAAGAGCAGAAATGGGTCTTCAACACAGCGAGAAAATCCTGCACCCAGAGGCGGGCTTCAGCTGGCCCATAAACAAAAATGGATGTCACACTAAACTCCCAAACATATAAATGAACCAAAATTAAAAAAAAAACATACAAGACTAACAAAGGCCAGAGGCTCCTGACTTGGGACAGGTGCAAAAATGTGGCAGGGGTCAAACATGTTTTATGAGATCTCAACCCTCTCCCTATACCTCTAGCCAATGTAGAATATACATGTACATTTTGTATAATCCTCATGTTCATTTTGAATAAGTCTTATCATGAGTTTAGAAGTAATTCTTATTTGTAGTAGAATCATAATTTGACTACGGACCTAACCTTAAGATACAAGTACACATATACATGTAGTCTAAATATACTGAATTGTTCATGACTTAGGATCTAGCAGTTTTAGTCGTAAGATCTTTTGGGTTACGAGGGTCTGTTCTGTTTATCCAATATTGTTTTCATAAATCATTCAAATTGTTGCAAACTATTTATTGTGAATTATATGTAAACACCAAAGGCCATTCAATAATGTCAGGTAAACAGGTAAAAGGTCAAAAGGAAATTTCTATTTAATGTTTTTAAAAGGTTTTACATACAAGTTCATAATAGATTTATAAACATAAATATTTTGACCTGGACAACAAAAAAGAAATTTTTTATTACGTCAGAGCAGTTAAAATTAAGAAAAAAAGATATTGTCATTGTTCATTCCAAGTTAAAAATTTTGTTGTTAAGATGATTATAAAAAAATTATAAAAAGGGGGAGGGTTGAGTACTCAGAAAACGCTTTTAACCCTTCCACATTTTATTGTGTCTGTTCCAAGTATAGAACATCATCATTTGTTGTCTTTTTACATCTTAAATCAATTTTTTTAAATCCTTTTAACGAGTTCGGTTATGGTAGTCTAGCAAAGTTCAAAGTTTACCTAAATAAATGTATATATTTAGCTATTTTGTTTAGGTCATTTTGGTCCTATAGTTTCTATATATAGTTGTAATGTATTTACACATCTCTGACTTTCAAATATTAAGTTTTAGTGTTCCTGATTAAAGTAAATCTAGAATTAAGCGCTTCAAAGGCATGAAATTTATAAAGTGTTTTCTTCATTCATTAGCTAGCTAGCTTAGTTAAATTTGTTTACAACTTGACTTATAAATATCACGTACAAAATGTATATTTTGGGCAATTTAGATGGTGACGTGGTTTCCAAACTTGTCAATTGTCGAAGTTTTTTGTTGACCTGTGGATAATATAATCAAAGTACTGGAAGTACTGAACATCGGATGACCGCAAGTTCTTGTGGATGGTCACAAGCACTTGTCTCAGAAAAACAAAAATCACATCTCTATACCTGAAAGTGAGGTTAAGGTACATAGATATATTTTTTTCTGAGACAAGTTCCTGTGTGGATGATGAATAAATGACAGGGAATTCAACCTCACCGTAATAACTATTATATTGTAGTGATTCAAATCAGTATACTCTGGTTTGTTGTTATATATTATATTAATATTTAATTGTATATAATATATAGTTACATGTATATATAATTTTCATCCATTTGTATAGCATTCTATTCTTGTAATAATTCGATTTTTCTAATAGATTGGATTTGAGTAGGCATTCATATTTTCCTGCAAAATGTTCTTGAGATATTCTTCCGCATGTGTTAACACAAATTTTCGGTATTCTTGATTTGTTATTGATATATATATTTCTCATGACAAAACATTTTTATATCATTTATCTATGTTCTTAAAAATTATTTTCATGAATATTTATTGATGAAATTGATATATAACATATGTTAAGGAATGTTATTTTGCGTTGGGTTATCAGTCAAATGTCTGTGGCAACAATACACCAGAATGCCCTCACGTTCATCCGATGTACAAATGATAAGATGCCATTGATTTACCATGAGACAGTTAAGTTCCACCAGAGTCCAAATGATGTAGATGTAAGCAACTTTAGGTCACAGTGTACCCTTCAACAATGAGCAAAACCGATTCCACATAAAAGTCCTCAACATGATCTAGATGTCTTTGTGGTTTTATTACGTTGTTTGGTTTCTATTGCTTTGATGGTTTACCTCATAACTCATCTTATTCAAGTAATCTTAAGGAAGTAATTTGTTTGTATGTCTTTAATTTGTACCCATTTAGGTTTGGATGTGTTATTTATATACATGTACATTTATCATAAGATTATATAGATGGGAAATATACATCTTCATGTTCATTTGGAATAGGTCTTATCATGTGTTTAGAACTAATTCTTATTTGTAGTAGAATCATAATTTGACCACAAACTTATGTCTTAATCTTAAGATAGAAGTTCATGTACATGAAGTCTAAGTATACTGAAATGTTCATGACTTACGATCTATCAATTTTAGTCGTAAGATCTTTTTTGTAACATGGGCCTGTTCTGATTATCATACAAATTGTTCCATATTGTTTATAGTGAATTATTTTATATGTAAACACCAAAGGCCATTCAATAATGTCTAGTAAACGGTCAAAAGGAAATTTCTATTTAATGTTTTAAATGGTTTTACATATGAATTTATAACAGATTTAAATATAACATAAATATTTTTGAGTACATGTACGTCAGAGCATTCAGAATTTGAAAAAAATATATTGTCATTGGTCATTCGAATTTCAAAACTTTGATGTTGAATTTAGTGATTCATAATACAAAATGTACATGTAATAGGGAAAGGAATAGTATTGGTTTAAATCATTATCCAGTGCATTGAACTAGATAATGACACTCTTCTCAACTGTTTAGTCATAAAGTACAGAATGATGTAATATATATATTGTTGAAATAGTTAAATTCTAAAAGTGGTGAAAATGGAAAAAAATTTGAAAAATGACACCCTTTAAATGATCAGTCATGGTCTTCCTTCAGTAGTCAATTGACCTAAAGAAAAAAAAATGACTGCAAATAGATAAAGATTGCTGTCTATATGTAAATCTGACTTGTAAAGTTGAGAAAACTAAACCCTACCACAATGATGACATTGTTTTAGTTTGTTAGAAACTGATAAGAACTGAATACTTCAGATAGAAGCTATATATATCGGGTAATTGATTGTTTCAAGTTCTTTCAAGAGTCCTAAATAGTATCTCATTAATCTAACAAGTCATTTGACGTCATGATTTATTTACAAACAGCCATCCATGATTGATTAATCAAATTCGGAAAGATTGAAAATGATTTTCACTCATGGAAAATATCGTATAGCCCACATGGTTGAAAGAGATTTATAGATTTACAGTTAGATAGGCTTCCTTCATTATCATGGTTAATTGTATATTTTTTTGATTTTTTTTTTTTTTTTGTGTTTACTTGAATTGCAACTCGATGAAATAAAATCTGAATTATTTGAAGTGTTTCAGTAGATAGGAAGTATTTTTATTGATTGAAAATAAAGTTAGTTTTTTTCTGGTATCTTTTATTTATGTTTACATGTCAGAGTCAGATATATGGATTGATGGATTTATGTGAAGATTAAAGGATACAATATTTATTATACACTATATAAAGAAACTTAGTTCTAATGTCTTTGACCTTATCTAACCATATCTTACATTTGTCAAGTTTGTAGTTTAATATTGCTTATTTAAATACCAAAAGGGTTTAGTTATTTGAAAACTGTCCAACAACACTTGTCTCGGTTGATATATCAAAAGTCTGAAAGTTTCAGTTGAACAAATGTCATTTAACTCCTCTGACATCTTACGCAATGCTTTGGTTATGTCTTTAATTATAGTAACTTTAGAAATTAAAAATGACTAAATTAGTATTCTTGTCATAAAAAAATATTGCATACATATATATGTCTGCTAGGGATACATGAACCTTTTCAGTAGGAACACTGTTTAATCATTAAGTATTACATGTATTACAACATTCTCATAAACAACTTATTTCTCAATAGATAATATACAATAATAATACTTTAAAGATACATGGAAAAATTAATACAGGTCCCTCCGTCTGTACCACTTCAGGTTAAAGTTTTTGGTCAAGGTAGTTTTTGATGAAGTTAAAGTCCAATCAACTTGAAACTTAGTACACATGTACCCTATGATAAGATCTTTCTAATTTTAATGCCAAATTAGAGTTTTGACCCCAATTTCACGGTCCACTGAACATAAAAAATGATAGTGTGAGTGGGGCATCCGTGTACTATTGATACATTCTTGTTTAAAGATATTAAGAAATATAGGGGTTGATTGGCAAATATGAAATAAAGCAAATTAAAGCCAAAAGAATTACAAATATTAACAAAAACAGAAGACAAATAGCATTAAGCAATAAGAATGTTTTTATGTTTTTCAGAACGAAGCTTCCAGTACCAATGTTTGACAGAAATGATTTCAGTATATGGAGTATACTAAAGCAATGTATAGGGAAGGTTTGTATATATATAAAGGTTTGAACGTTGTTTTCAATTTAGACTTGTTTATATATATATATATATATATATATATGTATATATATATATATATAACAGTATTTATTATTGAGTCATACATTTATTTCAGTTTGAATTGGTGTGATTTAAGTCTACTAGCATGACTAGCTAGATACACAAGAGGGTAGTAATGCCCTTTACCTTAGGGCGTCAAACGGTCATTTTCGGCTACCGTTAGTGTTAAATTGGTTAAAATTTTACCATGATTCGTCAGAGGTCTCAAATAATTATTACCGTTATTTTGGGAAAAAAATTTAACATGATTCGTCAAAATCAGTCGAATTTTTTATCGTTTAAAAGAAATTGTACATTTTATCATCATGCACCAAAAATAACCGTTAACGTCATTTGGCAAGAATCTATACCGTTATTCGTCATGAAGGTACCCCCATTACGACCCTCACACTAAGGACAATGTTCACTTTAGGCCAAACAGGACCTTGAATTTCAACTTTATCATAAAATATCAATTTTTTTTTCTTGAATGGATCTATTTTAAAAGCCTTTAACTTCAAGGTTAAATAAATCTCTTCATAAGAGTTTATTCTAGACTTCAAAGTCAGCACAAATTGGATTTATTGTTACTATGATTTTGTGCATGTTTGGTACCTTAAAGCTTGAGGAAGTCCTTGGCAGCATCTTACAATCCAAAATTGTATAGTTAAAAGTTATAAGTCATTGCTTAGAAATTAAAACTGTTTCACAAATTGCTTATTATAAATAGAAGTTGTGGTAACGTCAATGAGATGTTTTGTTCATGCAAGTATCCGACCTTTTTTTACAGGATTGTAAAATTTCAAGTACATACAATACTTATAGGAAAAGTCTTCTTTAAATTCTCTGATAATAATGTTTAAATAAGATATGATAAATAATTGAATATATTGCTTAATGAGTGTACTCCTTGATATAAATAAAAGGAGATGTGGTGTGTACATTTTGCTCATCTTTGAGACAGATACCCAACAACACTAATCTGATTTCCATTTTTGACATTCCTTTCAAAACTGTACTCTCTAAATATATACTATAAGGGATTATGTTGAAGTAATGTTGACAGTCAACTTGACCAGTGTATTTTTGTCTTTTGACACGATGGCCATATGTAAATATGAATAATTCAAACAAAGAAAAAAAAACACCATAGATAGCTGTGAAGTTTGTTGGATTAATCAGACTAATGGAAAGTAATTGTGTGAGATAATGTATCAGACAGACCTATAGATGATAATATATATAATCTGTTGATGTATTTAAACATCTGTCAGTGATATAGATAATGATATTGACATGTACAATGGTGTAATATTGACTAATCATAACAAGATTTATGTATCATTGATGTTTTGGCTAACTGGTTATGATTAAATGGCTACTGAAAAGTTTCATAAAATGATGGATCAAGCTTATAATGTTCTTATGTTGTACTGTGTTACACCACTGTTAGGGGGAGGGTTTGTCGCTGTCAAACATGTAACCCTGCCACAGTCTGTATGTGACTTTCCCAAGTCAGGAGCCTGTATTTTAGTGATTGTCGTTTGTTGTTGTTTATCACATTTTTTTTTTTTTCGTTTATTATTATGTACATAAATCAGTCCATTTGTTTTCATATTTGAATTGTTTTACATTTGTCATATTGGGGCCTTTAAAATTATAGCTTACTATCATGACTATGCAGTATGGGTTTTGCTAATTGTTGAAGGCCGCATGATGACCTATAGTTGTTAACTTCTTCATTGTTTGATCTCTGGTGGGGAGTTGCCTAATTGTTACATCATACCATATCTTCTTACTTTTATATTCAAGAAACTGTTTAATACTACAATCATAAAAACACTCTGAAAACTATGATATACAGGTAACTCTCTTTATCTCAAACTCTCTTATTTCAAAAAGTGAAATGTCTGTCCAAGTTTAAAGATTTGCATTAGTTTACTTCGAATATTTCAAAATTCCTGTTAACAAATTATTGTCAGTCCAATCAACTTTAAGATAGCAGCAGTATTTGATAAGATAATGTTTGACAGCATTGTTTTCATATAAAGCTTCTTATGTGAACCTATGTGCATTAATTAGTTTACTCATATATAGTTTTATAAATAATTTTTTTGTATATCATCACTGGATTTCCAATTTAGACATCTCTATAGACTTAATTTTACAGATCTTCTATCTGTTGTGTTTAATTAACAATTGATGAGATAGGTAACTTTGACATTTACTAAGGTCTTAGATGAAATATGCTTCTAAGGATGGATTTGATTTTTCTTAGGGGATCATGAAAGGAGAATTTCTTAGGGGATCATGAAAGGAGAATTTCATAGGGGATCATGAAAGGAGAATTTCTTAGGGGATCATGAAAGGAGAATTTCTTAGGGGATCATGAAAGGAAAATTTCTTAGGGGATCATGAAAGGAGAATTTTTTAGGTGATAATGAAAGGAGACTTGTGGTTTAGATTAAGTAAGGAATACATGTTAGTTCTGTGATTTTTGTAAGCTTATTAATAAAAGAGGCATCATGTCCTTTCGTTAAAATAAGGAGATGTGGTATGATTGATAATGAGACAAAGTTTGTAAACAACTGTTAATAAGGTCACTGCAATGCCTTAAGCAATGAGCATAACCCATCCCATTTAGGAAGCTTTACAGGCCCAGCATGACTGAGTGTACCGGTAAATCAATTCAAACCAGAAAACCCTGCTTAATCTCTTGTCAATACAGCTATAGTGTTTTGGTATGAAAAGTTTACAAATATCAACAGAGTGTCTACTAATTAAGTTCGCCATACTTATTTTCTTTATGGGATAATCTAGCCCTATGGTGGAACACATGTCCTTTATTGAGGACAGTATGTTAGTCTCTAGTTGTCCACTGCTGTTTTTGAGCTGCTAATATAAAAATAAGAAGATGTGGTATGATTGCCAATGAGACAACTCTCAAACAAACTAACTGCTTTACATTTAGAATATATCATCATGATCATCAAGTCTTCTTATTTTGAAATGATGTTTTAAAACAACAGATATACTGTACTGGACACTTTGATTGGATTGAAATATAATTGTATACTGTTGTTTGTCATTTTGGTAGGTTTTTTCATTTGTTGCCATGGCGATGTCAGTTTGTTTACGACTTCTGAGTTTGAATGTCCCTTTGGTATCTTTCGCCTCTCTTTAGTCAACATTGAAAACAGTGATCAGATATTATGTGGAACAAATTTTACTCTTGTTTATCACTTGCTTTGTTTACAAAACTTTGAATTGTTTGAAATATTCAGGATTTTAGACCCCAGGAATAGATTTACTTAGCTGTATTTGGCAAAACCTTTTGGAATTTTCACCCTTTTTTGCGTTTTGGGCAAAAACTAAAGAAGATAGAGGGATACAGGGATGGGCACGATTACTGACAAATGTAATCGATTAATAATCGATTACTTGAAGGATTTTTGTGTAATCGATTAATAATCGATTACTCTGATTTTTGTATGTAATCGATTGCAATCGATTACTTTAGCAAAAGTAATTACATTACTTTTCGATTACTGTCAATTACATGCTACAAAATTACAAATTAAATAAAGTAAGTTAAACACAAAGTCAATGATGTTGTTCAATGTATGTATAGTGGAAATTTTGAACTTTACAAAAATAGCATTTAAAGCATTGTTTCCAAATTTTATGTTGACAGTTGTTTTCTAGATGGAAGCTCTTACTGTCTAAGGATCCGAAATATTCAAAAATTCTAGAAATTTGGTTTTCAATATGAATGATTGGTGATAAAGTTCTTGCAATGGCATCACATTGCATCAATCACTTCTTTATATTTTAGGTTATCTCCATATTTTTGCATATTTTTGCTGTCATACTGACTAAAGTTAAGTTTTTTGTTTTTACTCATTATTAACAGCTATATTTGAATATAGTTCATTACAATGTTGAAAGTTTACTCTGAAAAAAAACTATAAAAAAGTAGAATAATTAATTAGTTCAGCTAATTTTAGAGATGAAAATTTATGATTTGTAATTACATGCATGAATTAATCCTTTTGTTTTGACAACCTCCCTAATTACAGGCTATAATACTGCCAATGGAGTACAATTATAACCTGGGGCAATATAATGTAAATCTCCTCTTAATTAATTAGACATAATTGAAATCAAAACAAAGTCTTCATCTTATTGATTAGAAGTCTTTGTTCATCTGATTAGTAAAGACAAGAAGTTTGTTGAGAATTTTGTACTCTCATTTCAAAATTATAAACAATTTATATTTTTTGTGCAAAAATTGGATACATGTATCTCTATTTCTGAACAAGAATTTTAATGCATAGCCATTGATTCATTGTCAAAAGGATTTCGTGTACTTTGTAATTTTTATGTCATAACATTATAATGAATCAAATGTTTATCTATTCTAAGCTAAAATTCCAACTATTATTGAAAATTATGCTTTAAGGAATTTTAATACAAATAAGCTTACTACTGCAATATAGTACAGATTTTAACTTAAGACTTATTTCTTATTTAAATCTATTTTCTTATTTTTATATAAAAGGTCTTAAATTATTGACCAGCAAGAAAAGTCATTTGTTTCAAAAGCTAGATATACAGTATAATTTGATAGATCTGGTTGAAGCAGCTGGAGCCAATAGATAGAAACAAGGCATTTGATAAACTCTTAAGTCATATCAATACATTTTATTTTTATCTGTACTATAAAGTGATGAATACATACATAATTTCATATAATATAGATTATATTTCATCAAGCTATTTTACCAAAGTAATCGAAATGTTATCGAAAAGTAATCGATGATTACATCATAATTTTTGCTGTAATCGATTAAATTACGATTACATGTAATCGAAAATATCTTCGATTACAGATTACTGTCGATTACTGGAAAAAATGTAATCAATTACAATCGATTACAGATTAC